GCAAGAAGGGTTTGAGTTCTAAGTGCAATATGAAAAGGAGGAAGCTGCCATCTTACTGTGCTGGAGTAAGAGTAAATTATAAACTCTGACTAATAGTTAGTATCTTGGGGAGTCAGAGCTTTTAAGTTGTATTGTTTCTCAACTTTTAAAATCACCATGCTATTTATCTATAAAATAAAAACTTTTCAATGTTTGTAAACACATGTCTATTAATGCAGATACTCATCAATAGCTTTTCATTTCTGTTGTTTGGTTTTGGTTTAGTGGGGTATTTTTGCATGTTTGGTGGCAGGCAGCAGTGCTGGCTGTCAGTTGCTGCAGCCTGTGCTCATGTCCTTCCCTCAGTGTGTGTGTTCAGTTCATCTTTTGTTGTCCTCTTATGCTCTGTGCCCTAAATTACTTGTTTGTAGCCTGAAATTTGGGGCTTGCTAGATGAAACGAATCCCCTTGTTTCTTTACTCTTGTGTGAGAGAGATACCTCTGGCTGGACTGTTTTTAACTTCACACTAGTTTTAAACTGAACAGTTACATTGTATGCAGATGGAACTATTCAAAGAGCCAAGCACATAAGAGGAAGCATCCAAAATAGAAAATGATAGGAAGAACCACCTCATTTTCTGTCATGCAAGCATGTGACCCTTAGCAAACTCACTGGCAGGCCTGGTGGGGTGACCAGAGCTGTCTGGCTGTGGAGCACGTGCTGGCCATGGCGGGGGCTTGCAGAACTGGGGCTCATGTTCATAGACTTTGCCATCAAAGGCCTGGTTTTGGATTCCAGCTGTTGACAGGCATTGCTTTGCAACTAACTACAGAAAAACACACAGTCTGATTCAAGCAAATGCTATGTGTGTAAGCATTTGAGCTTAAAGGGGAAAGCAGCAGTGGAGAACTATTAACATAGTGGATACAAATATTAGACAGTGAGAGTAGGAGAAGAGCTAAGTTAGCTCTGCTGGTGCTTCCAGCATTTTTGACACCAGAGGAACATCAACAGGTAGAAGCTTACCAACAGGGTAAATAAAGGAAAGACTATAAAAATGAATGATCAATTGGTTTTTACTGTAGTATTAAAAAAAAAAAAAAGTAGTGAAATAACTTTCAGCTTGATTATTCCGAAAATTTATAAGTATTGTCAAGGCTGATTATCTGAATCACCAAACACCTGTCTGTAACAGAAAATTACATCATATACAAACTTTTGGGATAATCAGGCTTGAAGTTTTGCAACATTCTGAGCTTTAATGTTCTGCCAACAAAGTGAGTAGCTGTAACACGAGGGTGATTAATGATCATCTGTATGCCACTTACCCTAGATTTCTTTTTTTTCATTTGTGTCACAAGATAAAGCATTGTCAGACTGCTTGAACATCACTTGAGCAGTCTCAATGTTTTCTTCTTCTTTAGCTGCTTGACCTTTACCTGACAGTCCCTTCCCATCTCAGGAATGTGTCTGCCACAATTGCTACTGAGCCTTTCATTCCTGCCATGGGGGAGCAGGTCCAAGGGGGAGCAGGTCCAATGAAGAGCATAACATGAGGCTGCATGGACAGAAGTAAGTTACAGTAAAATGTGTTCCTTATGACATGTTTCTTCCAGCAGCAAAGTAGGACTGCAAACTTGATTCCTTTTTTAAATTAAAAATATGAGGATTGATTTATCCCTGGAACAAAATATTCCAGTTGTTGCAGAATACATATTAACTCTCCTTATTTTCTCTTGCCTGGTCCATTATTTTCTTAAAAGGACACTCTTTAGTTTCTCATACTAGTTTTTTTAAAAAATCCTGATTTTTATGTCACAGTCTTTGATGAGAACCACTTTTCTACAAATGACTTAATGCACAAAAGCAGTTTAATGATTTTATTGTGTAGTTAAATTTTAAGAACTGATTTATCTTAGTTCTATTTAAAGATGGTGCAGGTTTCTTTGGGAAGAAAGAACATGCTACAGCCAGCCATAAGAAGGTGCAGCTGTTCAACTCAGCCCTCAGGGCCCATGTCTAGCCCATGTGGCTGGTGCAGAACTGCTCAGGTGTTCACAGTGCTGAGTGCTCACCCAGTCACCAAGTTAAGGCCCATGATGTCCCAGATCCCAGACTACTGGGTAGTTCACAGAGAACCTGATACTCATGATAGCTCATGGATAAGTTACCTTTGAAGATGGAGTTATGGGTGGTAAGATGGTAACTTATGGATAAGTTACCTTTTAGATGGGCTGCCATGGGTGAATGGCATTCAAATCCTTTCATTAAAGTGATGACTGCGGATCCCTCTCCTGGGAGATAGGAAAGGCACTGCACTTTTAGACAATGCCCCAATTACTGGGCATAATGGGATTACCTCCTCTCCCTCACAGAGCTATCTGAGTGCCTTGCATACTTGAGACTTAAAGCTTTTTTTTAACTCAGCACACTGCAACCTTCATGAATTTAGCCTCGAAGTTGTTTGAACCAGCAATTCAGCATTTCAACACAATAACAATAGAGTACGTCATATAATCGCAGTCTTTGTGAAGGAGACATGCTTTGGCATTTTTTGTTATGTTTTGTAACTACTAAAAGTAGTTGGTTATCATCTAACCACCAAGAATTTAGTATCACATCAGCTCTTTTAATTCCATACAAACACAACAGCATTCTCCCCTTTATTTAAGTGAGGAAATCCATTGAGCTCCCTGTGGCCAGATAAACCAAGTTCTATCAGTAAGACATACAAACTGCACTGAGCAGTGCAGATGTGGTGAGCTGAGCTCGTTCTGTGCCCATATAAACTGCACTGAGCAGTGCAGATGTGGTGAGCTTGTTCTGTGCCCCCTTGAAGGCTGGTTAGGTACAACAGCACTGCCTCTCTCTGAGGTGAAGAATACAGCATCTTTTTTCCATTGAGGCTTACCTCCTCTGCCTAAAATTCGGGGCCACAGATAACTATGGAGCTCTCCAGATGGGGTTCAGAACACAGCTGTAGGGGATTGGGAGGGTAGGGAACCACATCACACTAAAGCTTCCCAAGCCAACACTCAGAAAAATGGAGTCTGTTGAGTCAGGGCACTTTTGCCACAAGCCAACCTACAAGAGATGCATAAGATTCCCTGAAGCTCCAGTGCTCTTTTTGTAATTTCAAAGTTTTGGTAGCTACAAGGACTAGCAAGGATTCTTTAAAGGCAGAAATTGAATATTAAGTTTTTGACTCAATGATCATTGGTATTTTCTGGAGCTTAGGTGCAGCATATTCCTGTGTCCAGGCTGACCAAAAAAAAAAGCATCCCATTATTAGAATGTTACCTGCACTTCTGTGCTAAGTTAGGGTCTGTTGCTTTAGACCAAATATTTTCAGTCCAAGACATGCCAGTGGAGTGTTTACACAGTTCATAGGTAAAGGCCACAAATTCTTGCCTAATGTTAAATGTTGCTAATCAGCCATTAGACAGTTCATACCATTTCTGGAAGGTTTGTCTGGAGGAAAAGGGAAAACAGGTGTACAACCTGAGTTGGTCTTTTCAGTTCTGCTTCTATCCCATCTGCCAACAGAGCATCTTAGAGTATCTGAGTACATAAATGTCAAGGACACATCTACTGGACCTCATTTCTGGCTCTTCCCTGCATTTCAAATGGATGCAGACAATTTTGTCCTCATAAAAGTTCATTTATTTCCACACTTTGTCCTACATATGTAAGTCTCAAGATTTGCTCAGGTCCCGTAATATATAAACAAACTGTGCCCAGAGAACACAAGAAAATGAAAATAACCCCCCAAAGTACTTTTCACAGTATTCATTCAGGCAGTTAAATTCTGCTAGAGAACTCTTAGGCCTTATGCTCTATAAAATGACTATCAAGGGTGTTTTATACCTGTTCACAGAAGCTTCTTGACTGACAGGTGACCAAACCTTGTTGATGATAGGCAAAAATAATCCTGCACGGTACGACTGTACAGGAACAGGCACAGTCCTATACATGCTTGTTAATTTTGATACTTATAGTGGTCTTATATTGCTTTTTCTCCATACAAACACAAGCTGTCTTTTAAAGATCATATTTGACAAAATAACTCTTTTCAGGTTTTATTGCTTTATTTTAAAAGTGGTGTCACATGAAGAAATACTGTGACTCAAAATAAGTTATTAAAAAACATACCAATCAGAAGATTTGTGAGAAAAGTCTGTATCTGCCAACTAGTTTACAAAAACTGGTGCCAGCATAACACTGGCACCCTGTAAGCAACACGCTGCTCACACCCAGGCGCATCCCTTTGGGAAAGGCTTCCGTATTAAAGCAGTGTCGGGATGGACATTTCGAATTTAAACGGGAGCAGCAGCGCGGCGGGAGCGGCTCCGTGCAGCGGGCCCGGGACACTTACAGTCGGTACAGTCGGTACAGCCTGTCCGGGCGCAGGCCCGGCCTCCAGCGCCGCCCTCACGGCTGCTGCACCTTCGTCCGCTTCACGGGAGGGTCATCGCCGCTCGCCGCCGCGTCCACGTTGTTTTCGTCTTCGCCTTCATCGTCCTCCTCCTCCTCATTGTAGTCGTCGTCGTCGTCATCCCCGGCAGCACCTGCCGGAGTTGGGGCGGGCGCGGGTGAACGGTGCGGGGCGCGGGCGGCGCCCCGGGGCCGGCGGAGCCCTCTCGGCGCGCCCCCCCCGCCACTCACCGCGCCGCGCGCCGCCCGCAGTCGCCCGCTCCTCCTGCACCAGCGGCGCCAGCAGCTCCACCACCCGCTCCTGCAGCTCGCTCAGGGCCGCCCGCAGCCCGCGCAGCTGGGCGGCCTCGCCCTCCGCCGCCGCCGGGTACGGCACCCGCACCGTCCGCGTCCGCCCGTCGCGGCCCCGCAGCTCCGCCACCAGATCGCGCCCCGGGCCCGGCTCGGGCTCCGTCTCGGCCGCCAGCTCCGCCATCGCCGCCCGCCGCTCATGTGCCCGCCCCGCCGGTCACGTGCGGGCCGCCCCGCCCCGCCGTGACACACCGCCCACGGTCACGTGGGGCGCGCGCCATTCCGCTTCCGCTGTGGCGCCCCCTGGCGCCTCCTCGGGCCCGCGTTTCCCGCCTCGCTTCGCGCTCCTCGGCCTTCGCGTCCCGGCGATGGAGGCGGCGGCTCCGGAGGGCGCCGAGCCGGGGAGCGGCGGGAGCGGCGCGGAGGAACCCGTGGTGTCCCTGGCGGAGGTGCTGGCGGAGAACGAGGAGCTGGAGAAGGAAGCGCGGGCCGTGCTGGGGGGCAGCGACCACGAGCGCTGCAGTTACTCACAGGTGGGGGCGGGGCCGGGGGCCTCGGGGGTCGGGGGCGGGGCCTGGGCCCGGGGCGTGACCAGGGGCGTAACCGAGGGGCGGGGCGCGGCCGCGATCTGGGGCGGGGCCTGGGCGCGCGGGGCGGGGCGGGGCAGGGCAGCCCCCCCGCCTCAGCGCCCCTCACGCCGCGGTCCGTCGGTCTGTCTGTCTGTCTGTCGGTCGGTCGGTGTCTCCCGCAGGGCGCGGTGAAGCGGCAGGCCCTGTACGCCTGCAGCACCTGCACACCGCCCGGCGCCGAGCCCGCAGGGATCTGCCTGGCCTGCAGCTACGAGTGCCACGGCACCCACCGCCTCTTCGAGCTCTACACCAAGAGGTACGGGCGAGGGGGCGGGAGCGGCCGTGTAGGAGCCTCGTGGCTCCTGATAAACTGCTGCGGATTGTTCGGAGTACGAAACCCAGCGTGTTCTCACTTCATATAAACCCTGAAACGCCACGTTTTTCTCTCCCAGGAATTTCCGCTGTGACTGTGGAAATAGCAAGTTCAAAAATCTGCAGTGCAAGTTACTGCCGGTAAGTTTCAGACAGGTCTCAGGCATTCGGAGTCAGAATAACAGTCCTGGGCGGGTGGTGCCTTGCCTCAGCCAGTGCTGACTCGTGTGACACCTCCAGTCTTCCCAGGAAGTTAGAAAAGATGGGAATATTACAGCAAGGAGTAAAACTGTTGAGGGACCGAAGGGAAATCTGGCAGCAGAAGGAACATTTGGTCCTTGCCGTCCATGAAGGCAGCAGTTCTGCATCCATGGCCAGCGCACCTCCAGGAGCAGGTTGTGGTGTTTCTGCATTGACACATCTCATTAGCTTTAAGCTGTTTCAGAATAACCTTTTTGGGATGCAATTTTGCAGTTGCATTAAGAAAGATTAAGGCTGTGCTGCTGTCAGAGGGACAATTCCCTTTCCTTCTTTGTGATGGCATTAGTGCCCTAATAGTTTGTCACCAGAGCTTACTGATGGGATGGTTTTTTACTGTATTAAGCTGCCTCTACTTTTCTACTTGGTGGGCATTTTGAACTTTTCAGTTAACTGGCAGTCTCAGTCTTCTGTGAGGCAGCAACAGGATGCTGCTTGGTTTGCTTGCACTGGTGCTCCCAGGGTAATAGCTGTCCAAACATTGAAACAGACAGTGGTTTTGTGTGTGCCTGTTTTGTGCTGGGAGAATTGAAATAGATCCAGAGCAAAGTCACAGTGCAGTGATCCCTACAGACACCTGTGATAATTTAAGATGTTACCATTTCTCACTTGAGTCAATGAAATGGATCAGGTGGTTGTTCCTTCTGCTTCAGTTCAGTGAAAATTCAGTTGTACAGGTTAAGTGAGCTTCAGCATCTGTCCATTAATCTGTCTGTCACCATGGTTGCCATTTGCTACAAGGGTGAGCAGACTGCTTTTCCTCTTTAGTTTTGAACTTTAGCATTCCTCATGTGCCCTATCTGCTGCTCAGTGTAAAGCAGAGGTGTCTGGAGAATATATTTCTTTTTATATATTCAGGCTGCTGAAAATAATGATGGTTTTAGGAATTAAGAGGGAACAGAAATGGTTGTCTTTTGTCATTTACTGTCTTTAGTTTTTTACTGTGTTGTCTTTTGAGACTTTTTCTCTTTACTCCTAGGAAAAGGGCAAGGTGAATTCAGGAAATAAATATAATGACAACTTCTATGGATTGTACTGTACATGTAAAAGACCTTACCCTGATCCTGAAGATGAGGTAAGAAATACAAAATCCAGTAGCAATCATATATAGATGGTGTTCATGGTAGATACTGTGTAAAGGGTGATCACTGAGCTGCTTTTCAAGGAAGATCCCACTTCAACAAATCTTATGTTCCATATTGGTTTTCATGTGTCATGTGAAGTAATTACTTGATAATTTTTTTTTAATAGTAAAGTATGTTTATGCCTTAGACACAGATGAGGAGGACAAGTCATCATTTGGACAAAATGGTGCTGCAGTTCCCTGAAGTTGCAGAGTTCCCCTAGGGGACAGGGTTATCACAACCTTGAGAAATGTGGCCTAGTGCAGAATAAATGCATTTCATGTGATAGGAGAGATCAGAATGTGCTTCCCCGTGCCTGCAGCACTGCTCTGGCAAGGCTTCTGGGGTGGGGAGAGTCTGTCCTGTCCTGTAGCACTAGCTACAGTCCCAGGTGGTAGCCAGAACACTTTTTTGTCTCTCTGAAACGCTAAAACACAGCACTGCATTTGCATGTGCATGCTGCTGTTTGCAGTCACAGGAATCAGGTGTCGTAAAGAACAGGGAAGGCACAAGTCTTTCAAATACCAAAAAAATCCCATTTTATAAGCTCCCCCTCTCTCAAGTTCAGAGGCAGCTAAAAACATTTCTAAAGAAATAATTAATAGTTGTTTAATAACAAAGCATTTCATACTGTCCTGTGTGGTGTCCAGTTAAGTTTGATTCTGGCATTTTTCACAGACCTGATGACAGTGTGAATATCAGTATCTTTCTTCTGCTGAGCTGTCCATGCATTTCTGTTTATAGGATGAAGGATACTAGTAGTGTATCAACTTTTATCACCTTTCTGTGAGAAAGTCTTGCCCTGCTGGGAAGACTGGTTTTGTAGTAATAAATGGGATTTCACAGCCTCAGTCATGAGAGAGATGACTTGTGCTGTTGAACATGAGGGGAGCAAACTGGCCAACAAAGCACTAACTACTTACTAATGGCAGCTCCCTGTGAGGGGTGAAGAGGGAAATGCAGTTCACTGAGCAGAATTTGCATGGTTTGAGACTGGTGAGAGATTCTGGAGGTTGCTGTTAATGCTAATAACATGAATGTTCATCTAGATTCCAGATGAGATGATCCAGTGCGTAGTTTGTGAAGACTGGTTCCATGGAAGGGTAAGGAAACTATAAATAGCAGAACTGCCATTTGCACAGGATGGAGTTGGTGTTTAGGTTTGTGTGGTGATTCTTACCTGGGAGGTGTGCTGTACTTCTCGAAGGAGATTATTACAGGAGCTCCAAGGCGTTTGTTTTCAGCTTATGCAAAGGAGCATTGAAAGTCTACTCTTGCACTGCTGTCCACTCCAGTTAAAAATACTGGGAAGAGTCCTACCTTTTTGAAGGTTACCACTGCAGAATAAAGCAATAACTTTATGACTGTCTCCTTAATTAGAAAACTGTTGGGAGAGTAGCTAAGAATTAGAAAAGTACAAGGCCGTGGCTAATTCCAAGTGCTGCACCTGCAAGATAGCGTGTCCTTGGGCCCAGCTGGAGTATGATAACAAACAGTGAAAGAGACATGAGAAAAGAGAGATGTAACCCCTGAGGAATGGGGAGGAGCTGATGTTGTGGTGTGGCCAGTGGACGGTGTAAATTACAGAATATTCATGAGCTCATTACTTGCTGTGTAAGTGTCTGATGCTCTCTTCAATAAACGGAGCTTGCTGATCTCATATTGAGCGTCCCAAGTTTTCCCTGCACCCGACAAATGGCTCATCCCCGACAAACAGCTCTTTCTGCAACAGAAAACTCTAATCAGCATAGTTGGTGAGGAAAAGATTCTTACTGAGGCACATCATTATCAACTATCTGAATCGTTTTTCCTTCAAAAGAATGTCTTTTAAACTCTTTATTCCTTCAAGCAGCAAGGAACAGACTGTGCTGTTCATTCTTGATTCCAAACTTTGGGGAAGTCTTTTGAAAGCAGCCAAGCACTGCAGTGGGTGCCCTACTTAGTGGGTAAGCATTAAGGATTCAGCCTCTTGTGCCTTGAGGAGCACAAGTGAAATTCCATGCTTGAAGTTGCAGGATCAAAGAGTAAAAAAAATATGATTGGCTTCAATTGTGGGTTCTTGTAGATAAACTTCTTTTGTATTAAGTGTATGAAGGAAGAGTGTTGTGCTGCATACTGTGAGCTTTGCTGAAAGGCTGTTTCAGAAGAAAGCCACTAAGTGCTTTTAATTGCCCAAGGAGTTCTCATCAATTTATGGACAGCTTTGGGACTGAATTCTTCTCAAGTTCAGTATGTGATCAATATAGATGCTTCAGTTCTGTGTGCTCACTTCTTTCTGACAGCATCTTGGTGCAGTTCCCCCTGAAAGTGGAGACTTCCATGAAATGGTGTGCCAGGCCTGCATGAAACGTTGCCATTTCCTATGGGCTTATGCATCCCAGTTAGCAGGTAAAGAAAGTCAAGAGATCTGAGCCAGTACTTTGTGAGCATGTATTTCTCATACATGGTTGGTTAATGACATAATACTGGTTTTAAGTGGTTGGAAAAATAATATTAATTGTATTGGGCAATCACCTTCAGCAGTGGAACATGAGGGGTGGCAGTAACTTGTGTAAAAAAACCCCAGCAGCTTTCATTCTTAAGTCTTGATTCAGTGCTGCTTGCTTCTGCTTTATCAAAGATGTCTAGCACAAAATGAGTGAAGATTTAATACTTGAGTCAAGCAACTTAATTTCTAAACTGGATCAAAGAACTGAAGAGCCATCCTAAGGGAAGCAGTGAGACAAACACTTCTTACAGACACTTTGAGCAGCAAAGAGTGAATGATAGAGTGCCCTGGAATGAATATGTTTAACAGTAATCTGGGTAGGGCTGGGACTGTGCTCAGGACACATGTTCCCTGTGGTCACGCCAGCTCTCTGGACTTAAAAGAATGGATGACTTGAATTCTGTAGAAAGAACTAATTTCTCACAGTGTCCTAAAATTACTGCTTCTGTCAGCTGCTGATAGATTCCTTATGTGCCCAAAATTTCACTGGTATTTTCAAGGATGGCTACCTGGAGTTCTTTTCCTTCTAATGTAAATGGTACAGAACAGGGTGTTTGTCTGGTTTTGGTTTTCCTCCTTCTAACCAGCTTTGTCACAGGGCACACACTTGAATTGGCATCAAACAGAAACTTGTTTTAAATAAACAAGAGATTAGTGTAGTTAATCTGTGGTGGTGTTTTTGAGATGTGTTTGGAGAAAATGAAAAACTCCAACACAGTCACATGACAAAAAAGCACATGACAGTTACTGAAACTGTGATAGCCAGCAAGGGGTGTCAAGAAGGACAAACATTGTAGTGAAGAACTCTGAAATACCCTCTTCCCTCTCCTAGGGCTTAGATTTTGGGAAGCAGAGTGTTTTAGAATAGGAGAAGCAGAGAGAATGCCTGTAGTGACCTGTACTTTTTCTGGCACAGTATTTTTATTTGTGGGTATCTGTCTTCCAGTTCCTCCTTTGACCAAAGCGAGCTCCCTTGAAGATGAAGGGATTGTCCTGAAGGTAGAGGAAAGTGAAGAGCAGAAGAAAGAAATAAAAAAAGAAGGTGGAGTGGAACACCATGACACAAAGGAGGAAAAGCAATCGGAACAATTTAGTGAGCCATCCACTAGCTCTGGGTCTGCCTGTCCTGAGGTAAAATGTGCCTTCTGCTCTGACCTGCACATCCTCATGCTGCTGACAATCAAAGTGAAACCCACCTCAGTCTGTGCAGGCTCAGGGAAGGGTGTTCAGTCTGTTCCCATGCTCCTCTTCAGTCCTGCAGTCTCTGTGGAGCACAGTGTGAGCTGTGGAGCAGGGCTGTTGAGAGGTGTAATGTCTGTTTGCAGATGGGCTGCATCTGTCCCTTCTTCTCAGCCACTTGGCCAGTACACTGAGGTGACTTCTGTTTGTTCCAGTATGTGGTGTAACTGCACTTGCACGATGGTCCAGCTCTGAGTTCCTAAATACTTACAGTTATTGCAGAAAATTTATACAGAAATTTCCCGTGGAAATTGCTGAAACCACATCAGAATTCTCATGTGGATAGTAATATAGGTTGTTTATAAAAATAAATGTGTTTGAGACAAAAGAAAATTCTTGCCTAAGGAGAAGGACATGCCAAAAAGAACAGGGTCTCTTTGAAGTGATATTATGGAGTACTGAACACTCTCCTTTTATTTCAGGTAGTTACTAAGAGTGAGGAGCCCATCTGCAAGCTGAAAGAGCTCCAAAGCAAGCCATTTGTAAAAAAAGATACTGCCACCTTTTGGCCATCCAACTGGAGGAGCAAATTATGCACTTGTGAAGACTGCTTGGTATGTATGTTCTCTTCATATATATGTATGTTTGGTATGTATGTTCTCTTCATTACCATCACACATGTGGAACAGGCAGGGAGGAGCTCCCACACCATCACTGAGGAGAAGCTTTAGGTAAAATCTGTGTGAATGTTCTTAATGCTGAAACCTCCCTTCATTCCATCTAAAGAGTCACATTGAATCCTGTGGGATTAATATAGCAGGAAAGGGCTTCTAAATGTTTGTATTTTCTTTGCTGCTTTAATCCAGTATTGACTGGAAGTTGTTAAGAGGAGATTTTGAAACACTGGGGGAGAGCACCTCCATCTGAGAAGTTTTGTCACATCAGTTTTACTTCATTCTCCAGAAAATGTATTCAGAGCTTGAAGTCCAGTTCCTGACAGATGAATGTGACACTGTCTTGGCCTATGAAAATAAAGGTACCAGTGACCAAGAGACAGAGAGGAGAGATCCTTTAATGGACACCCTTAACAGCATGAACAGAGTGCAGCAAGTGGAACTCATCTGTGGTAAATACAACTTCATTTTTAGAGTCTCCCTTAACACACTTCAACTGAACAGTTTGCCACAAGAGATTGATGTATAGTGTGTAGTGTCAAATTATTTTTGAAGTAACATGCAGACTGCTGTATGACAGGTTGCACACCTCAGTCAGGATTGGTCCTCTCTGGCCCATCATTACAACTTTAATTTACAGTGAGACACTGGATGGTGTGTGAACTTTCACCCTGTTTAACATCTTAGGTACTGTGATGATAGTGATTTATTGTGAATATTTAAACATTAATTTGAACTTCTGCTGTCTGGCTGATTTATCTTACCCTGTTCTGTTGTTTGGCAATCTCCTGTTGGCTGGGAGTGCCAGCCAGGCGTGCCCTGTGGCTCTGCTGCAGAGCACAGTGACAAGGCAGTGCTGAGGTGATTTACACCTGGAGCTGTTTCTCTGCTCCAGCCAGGGCTCTGCACTCTGGCAAGGACAGTGTCACAGTGTCACAGTGTCCCAGTCCCCCCTTGCAGGCTGGGCCTTCCCACCACGCCCCACACGAGCTTGTGTGGGGGAAGCTGGGAGCAGGGCCAGTCTGTTGGTTACCTGTACTAATTCACTCACTGATCTCTGGAATCAACCCCAACAGACACTCACACTGCATAGGTTAGTCTCATAAATTGTTAGGCTTCTCATGTTTACATCATTATTATTATTTATACTCTAATTCAAACCTAGATTTGTCTGAAGTAAGCCTAACAAATGACAAGAGGAAGTAGAACAAGTTGTGTTCTTGAGCCAATGTTAAACTAAAACTGGGTATCTTACTGTTGTTTTCTTTCCTTTGCTTTGCCATCCAGAATACAATGATCTGAAGACAGAACTGACTGACTATCTCAGGAGGTTTGCAGATGAGGGCACGGTAAGGTGCAACTTCCAGAATTTGTTTGCAAGAAAATGTGTTTTAAAGAACTGCTGAGGGCTGGGTGGAGAATACCATGATGTTCTGTTGTAATGTTTTTTCTTGTCTCTTGGAGTTGCTGGTACTACAGTAGAAATCTGAAATCCTTTATTTCATTCAAGTTTGACAATTCCTTAATGACATTGTTGAGAGATAATGGGAACTTTACAGAAATCTGTCTGCAAGGTAGTGAGAGCAATTCTTACATTAAAAGCAAACTTCTGTTGCTCTAGGTAAGATATTCAGGAAGACAAGCTCCTAAATTTTCTGTTTTTTCTTAGATTGACTCTAAACCCTTGGAAGAATAAGGACTGACCATGATTGTCAGTCTGGTCAGTTGTTTTCCTGCAGGAATTTGCATGCCATCATTAAGTAGCACTTGCATTTTGTTGGCTGACTTACTGTATTGCCATTCTTAGTTACATTGGAATGACCCTGAAGCAAGCTAGTGAAAATCTTGCTTTGTGTTAAATTTTCTGATGATAAAAGCAAGAGGCCAAAGTCATTAAAATACCATTGGGAGCTTTGGTCATGTCTTTGTTCTGCCTTGGGGAGCTCATTTCCCTCTTTGATTACCCACAATAGAATTTGGGCATTAATCCTCTCCTTGAGGTGCAACAGGAAAGCTGTACCAGAGAAATTTCAGGGTATTGGTTTTTCTGTGCTTTGTGTATTATGTGTGGAGATAAAACAGGATCCTTTAATTAAGCTCTTCCACCACAACTTGGGTTTCATGCTGCTTCTCCTAGGTGGTTAAAAGAGAAGACATTCAGCACTTCTTTGAAGAATTTCAGTCTCGGAAAAGGCGACGGACTAACAGGATGCAGTACTACTGTAGTTAGACTGAGAGGGTTTGGGTCTGAAAGGACAACTGGCTAAACAATGTTCACTGGCAAACAGAAAAGGCATCTTCAGTTTTTGGCTTCTCATCAAAATCCAGCTGTCCAAGAAACATCATCATTTTGTCTAATACGTCCTTCATTTGTAGCACCTAAAACACGTTCTTAACAAATCCTTACATTGCACTTAGAGGGATTTCAGTACCGATGGACTTGGCATTCCCGGGAGAGCCGGCCGTGTCTCCAGGGCAGGAGGGCGGGACGGGAGCAGCGTGTGCTGCTCTCCCCTGGTTCCTGCCGGGCTGGAGCCGAGCTGTGCTGCACCCGCCCGGCCCTGCCCGCGCTCCCGGCTCTCCTGCGGGAATGGCTCTGCCTCCTGCCCCGGGGCTGCAGCCATTCCGGTGAGGCCCCAGCGCCGGGAGCTGCCTGTCCCTGTCCCTGTCCCTGTCCCTGCCGCGGCCCCTCCGGGGCTGGGCGGGCTGGGCTGGGCCGGGCTGGGCTGAGCCAGCGCTGCTGCCTGCCCGGGCTGCTCGCAAATGGGAAAGCAGAGCTTAGGCTTGATGCAACACAGTGTTCTGTCTGGTTTTATACATTAAAAAACTTATTTCTAGTATTGGACAGGGATGATTTCTGTGGTAAAAAAAATTCAGATGATCTTAATTTGCTCATCAGAACAAAAACAAGAGCTAGGAGGAGGTACTAAATTACAAACTAAGCATGGGGGGTTTGTTATATGCTTTGATTTTAAAAACTAGCCTACAGCAAATTCTTCTACTTTATAAATGTTGCTGAAAACACTGCAGCATCCTGGTATTTTGCTACACTATGGAATGTTCTTTTTATAACCACTGTGATAATCATGGGACAGGAGATGTTTCACTGACTTTTAAGACTACACGTAGCTGCAATTAAAAATTAAGATTTTGTAAGTTTGGAGCCTAATGTAGTTAGACCCCAAAACCTACATTAAATTTCTAGTTTTTGAGGATTTCTATATCATGGGGTACTATTCTGCCTTTCCATGTTAATGGTTTTTGAAAAGCAAAGGTAGATTTTATCATTCTCACTATTAACTGTTTCTGACCATTTTATTTACAAACAGTAGTTTAGCATAGATGCTCAGCTGAGCAGCTTCATAGAACATAGACTATGCTGAGTTGGAAGGGACCCAGCAGGATCATCACATCCAACTCCCTGCCCTGCCTAGAACACCCCAAGAGTGACACCATGTGCCTGAGAGCATTGTCCCAACACTTCTTGAACTCTGTCAGGCTGGTGCTGTGACCGCTGCCCTGGGGAGCCTGTTCAGTGCCCAACCGCCCTCTGGGTGAAGAAGCTTTCTCTGATATCCAACCTAAACTGCTCCTGACACAAGTTCAGGCCATTCCCTCAGTCCTGGCACCACAGAGAGGAGATCAGTGTCTGTCCCTCCTCTGCCCCTCACAGGAAGCTCCAACTGCAGTGGGGTCTCCCCTCAGTGTCCCCCAGGCTGAACTGACCAAGCGCCCTCAGTCCCTCCTCACACGGCTTCCCCTCAAGGCCTTTCAAGATCCTCCTGGCCCTCCTTTGGACACTCTGACAGCTTTGTGTCTATTTTATATTGTGGCACCCAGAACTGTCCCCAGGGCTCGAGGTGAGGCTGCCCCAGTGCAGAGCAGAGCAGAGCAGGACAGTCCCCTCCCTGGCCTGGCTGGGGATGCTGGGCTGATGCCCCAGGACATGGGTGGCCCTGCTGGCTGCCAGGGCACTCCTGACTCATGCTCAATGTGTCATCGACCCCCAGGGCCCTTTCCTGTTTGCTTTTAAATTTAACTCTGGGTATTGTACATGCTCTTTTTTTGGTAGCAACTGTTACAGGAGCTGTAACTGCACATCTAACTACAATATATAAAGATTAAAATAACTTTTCACTGTGTACTGTCTTGTTTTCTCTCGGTGCTGCTGTAGTGTTACATCCTCGAACCAGGCAGACAGAGGGAGCCCAGTGATGAGCTGTTAGCCAAGCCACCAAGGTGCACAATGGGGGCTAATCAAACCCAGGATTTCTAGACCTTTGTTTCTACCTGACCCAGGTGTGAAACAAGGCATGGCAGCCTGCTGGCGAATACAGTTTAGAGCAGGACAGGGTCACGTTTCCTCTGTGCTGCAGTTTCTCTAACTCAGTGGGGGAGAGGGTACCCAAAGGCAATTGTGTCTTCCACAGGAAAGGCCCCAGTGATCACAGAAATGCTTTATGGCCCAGTGCCAGCCTTGCTGCAGTTAAGAAAATACAGCACTGATGGAAGGAGTGAGTTCAAATGTAGAATTCCTGTGGCTCCAGGTGCAGAGCACAGGGCCAGATGAGCACTGTCCATTCCTGGCATCAGCCTGTACTGAAGCAGGGTGCACCTGAGGGGACCCAGCTCCAAGTCTCCCTTTCCAATGCAAAAAGCCTCCCCTAAGCAAAGGGGTCAGGCATCCTCCTCTCCTCTGAGGCTGGCAGGCTTAGAAGCACTGCTCCAAAGTGACAGCCTGTAAGAAAAAATGTTAAAACTGTCTAATTTAGGAAGCTCCTAGAACTCATCTTCCTGGGTGTGGGAGTGAAGGTGTCAGTAATTAACATGTGGGACCACTCAGTTCTCCCTCTCCTAACGCACCTGTGCTCCGTGTCAGGATGTAACCCACGGTATTCTGCTCTTGTACACCAGAGTGGGGCCAGGCCAGATGACACTTCTGAACTTCAGCCATTGCTCTGAAGCAGTGAGGCACTTGTTCCTGAGACCCAGATGTAATGAACTGCCAGCTGCAATAGTTGGCAGGGAAACTGCAGCCTGGGAATGCTGGGTACTGAACATCTGTCCAGCTGCTCTGATGAGAAAATGAACAGGCACTTCTTGCACGCAGGGCTGTGGCCCAAGGCCCAGCTCAGAGCAGCCCTACTGCCTTCCACAGGGCATGGCCTCAGGCAGGCTCCAGCCAGGGCTCACAGAGCTACTTCACTGAAATGCTTTCCCCTTGTATTAACTGCCTGATCAGTGACTCATTTCAAACCCCTCTTTTACACTGGCTGATACCATGTCTGGTGTTCACAGCATTATTGTGCCCCTTTTTTCCCAAAAGCCTTTTCACTTTATTGCTGGGCTCCTTCACCCCAGCCCCAGTCACTGCAGCCTGGAGGGAGCAGGGCAGGGTGCTGGGTGCAGCCAGGAGCAGCAGCTCAGGGGAAGCAGCCACACAACCACGTTCTATACAAGCCATTTATTTGAAATGCCAACTATACGTAGGATAAAGTCAGTGTTACATGCTTCTCAGCAACAGTAGAAAAATAGAACCAGTGAAAACCTTTTTACAACTGTAATGGTACTCAAAAGAGAAATGTATTGTTTTACAATGCATCACACAAGACTAGAATTCAAGTTTGGAGGTACCTAAATAAAAATACTATTTTTTTTAAAAAAACACTATGTACAATTGAAGCGTAAACAAGTTTTACAAAGTACTGGTTATGCAGGTTGTAGAAAAAACACTTGCATAGGACATGAAGTCAGTTTAAGAAAGTTTTCTGAGCCTTTAGCATTGAAGGCACTTGACTTTATACCAGTAACAACACAAGGACAAGAAACAAATTCTTAACACTGCCGAGGGCAGGGCTGCCTTCTGGCAGTACAGGTAATTACAGAAACCCCAAATGTGGTTTTACAAGTTTCCCTCAAAGCTGTTCCCTGCATCCAGCAGGGCTCAGCACCACCTCTACCATAGAAGCATACAATTATTAGAACAGTGCCTCAAACAGCATTAGTGTTCTTTCAAAAAAACCCAAACAAACCAGAAAAAACAACCAAAACAACCAAACCAAAAACCCATACAAAACACCCAACCCCCTTGCCCCCACCCCTTTCCCAAACCCAAACCAAAGAAACCCCTAAAGACAGACATTTGGGACATTCTGGGATCAAAACCCAAGGCTTACAAGGACAGGTGGCCACAGCCTTAAATTTCATAAGTGAAAATCCTTAAGAACAGGAAAATACAACATGAAACTGCCAATCAACACAGCAGTTACTAATACACAACTACAGTAATTCTGTGGAACAACAAAACATTTCAAAGGAAGAATGTGTTTTAGGAATTAAGTTATTCATCCATATATTAAGGAAAAGAGGAGTTGGGTTTGGGGAAAGGGGAATAAGACCTTTTTGCATGTTGCTCACTAAATGCAAGTCTGACCTCTCTCTTTAACAGAACAAGGAACATGAGTCTCCCTCATTCAAAAAAACAATGTTTATAACTCTATCCTCAAGCAAAATATTTAATAATCTGTCATTTCCATCTAATTTATAGAAGGAAAAGATGTCAATTTCCAGCCTAATCAGAAAGTGCTTCATGTAAACAAGGAGCTTCTGCACCAAAGTTTCAGTAGACAGAGAACAAGGAGTAGCAGGTAGCACAGGTATGTGTGGTGTGCAAGTGAGATGGAGGATGAACACTGGCTTCTGAATAATGCTGCCATGAAAAATGGTCTCACCCCTCTGCACATCCCAAGTAGGAAATCCTGCTCTGGAGTACAAAAATAAAGTTCCAGTAATTCAAGAAATCCTTCTTTTCCACTTCAAACCAGCTGCCATTAGCTGCCATCTTCTTCCCAATTCAAAATATGCAAGTGAAAACAGATTGTCTATATGGCCTGATTGTCTTTGTGGCCTCAGAAGGACTTGTCTTTCATTCTGCATCTACTTTTAAACACTTAATTCATCCTTTTTTTAATACTGCACAGCTCCTGAGACTTCAGAAACAATTTTGTATTCTAAAACGCAGACACGTCCTCCCCAGAGGCATTTCTCACCAGAAATTATTCCAAAGCCAAAGCATTTCATGATTTCCCTCAAAACATAACCTCAGAACTTCTCATCTTCATCAGCCACACCCCCCTCCCCAAATTTCAAGCTTTAGAGTTTTATCTGTAGATCTCAGTCCCACCTCTGTCCAAGTACACAGTGCCACATCAAACTGTGATAATCAAAGTAGTTTTCCTGAAGTACATCTATCAGTTTTAGGCAAAAATATTGAGAATAATAAGTTTTCTGAGGGCAGTTGTAATTTTTTAGTAGTTAAGCTACCAACACATACATGATGCAAGTCCAGGGAGTTTCAGGGTGTGTGCTGAAAGGTCCTGGTTCTGCTGAGGATGACACCCTTGTGTGTGGTTAGAGCTATGCAGTCAGCACTGTGCTCAGCTCTTCAGGAGAAACCCAGAGAGCCTCAGCCCCTGAACCTGCAGCAGCAGCATCCCCCCACTGACACCTTCTTGCATTTAACAGTGTCCTACACCACAGTCCCATGGAAATCCCACACATGGGTGATGAAGCCACCCAGGACCACCCAGTGCCTTGACTGTGGGCAAAAAACAACATTAAAAAAAGCTGACAGAGGAAAAAAAATCTCCCCTCACCCACAAGGCACATCACCTGCAGAGTTTAGG